TACCAAAGGGGAAAGGTAGGGGGTAAATTAGGAGTTTGGGATTAGCATACACATACTACTATACATGTTATAGTATATAAACATACTACTACATAGTATATACACATAGTAGTATACATACATACTACTACTATATATGGATAACTGAGACTTCCTGGTGGTCCAGTGGTTAAGACTCTGCACTTCTAGTGCAGGGGGTCGGGGAATTAAGATGCTGCATGCCACATGGCATGGTCAAAAACTAAAGACAAAAACAGATAATCAACAAGGACCTACTGTATAACACAGGGAACTCTAATCAGTACACTCTAATAACCTACAGAGGAAAAGAATCTGAAAAAGATGGACATACGTGTAACTGAATCACTTTGCTATATACCTGAAACTAACACAACATTGTAAATCAACTATCCTCCAATATAAAATATAAAATAAAAATTAAATTTTAAAAAGACAGAAGCCAAATCAGTAAACAGAGCTGAAAATGAAAGGAAAATTGAGTTCTGAGGACACTGTCTGAGGTTCATGCTCAGCCATACCCAAAACCAGTCCTACCCCTGTGCAGTGGGTAGCCTGAGAAGCGAAATTGCTCAGTCGTGTGTGACTCTTTGCAATCCCATAGACTGTAGCCTACGAGGCTCCTCTGTCCGTGGAATTTTCCAGGCATGATTACTGGAGGGGGTTGCCATTTCCTTCTCTCCAGGGGATCTTCCCGACCCGGGGGTCGAACCCAGGTCTCCCGCATGGCAGGCAGACGATGTACCCTCTGAGCCACCAGGGCAGCGCCACCAAGGAAGTGCAGAGTAGCCTACAAGAATCAATACCTTCTGGTTCTGCTGAAAACTATTTGAGCTGGTTCTTGTGCCACTTGCAATTAAGAGCCCTAGCCAGGGTTTCCCTGGTGGCTCAGTGATAAAGAATCTGCTTGCCAATGCTGGAGACACGGGTTTGACTCCTGGTCTGGGAAGATCCCACATACCACAGAAAAGCTAAGCCCATGTGCCACAGCTACTGAACCAGTGCTCTCGAATCTAGGAGCTGCAAATACTGAGCCCACACACCCTAGAGCCTGTGCTCCTCAACAAGGGAAGCCACCACGAGAAGCACCGCAACCAGAGGGTAGCCCGTCCTTTCTGCAACTAGAAAAAAAGCCCGCACAGCAATGCAGACCCGGCACAGCCATAACGAAATAATAAATAAACTAAAACTAACAGAATTTAAAGAAAGAGCCCTAACCAATCAACACACACAAAGAAAATTTCCTGAGGTGACTGAGGCAGGAAAACCGCGTGGTGAATAGGTCTCTCTGCCCAAATATTATAAAGACCCCCATGCCAGCGGGAGCTCTTTTATTTTGCCTTCCAGCCACCTTGTCTGGGTCAGAAAAGGGCACTGGTAGGAGGCCCTTGGGCTTCCACTGTATTTTCCTTCTCAGTGCTGGGCCTCATGCTCCTCATATCGCATCAGTTCACCTGCTCTCATTCTCTCTCTCTCAATCTCTAGCCTCGCCACCCCCTTCTCTCCTCTCTTTCTTTCTCCAGTTAGTTTGGACCACAGCAACGCATGCTCATGAAAGTCTGAAGGTTTCAAGTAATAAGATACAAGGGATTAAAGTTTTGGAAAACATACAGCTGCATTCAAGCCAGCTCAGAAAACCCAGCAAGGCAAAGCAATAGGCACAAGCTGCCCCCAGGTGGGTCCACTTTGGCTCTAAGCACCAGACCCATGAAGGAGTAGGGGAGCAGTCACCCCACCCCACTCCAAAAGTGCTGTGACTGCAACCACCTCGCTCTCCATATTTTTGCGGAATGTTTCATTTAAAAATATTCTATCCAAAAATATATAAGCAGCTCATGCAGCTCAATATAAAAAAATAAAAAATGGGTGGAAGACCTAAATAGACATTTCTCAAAAGAAGGCACACAGATGGCCAAGAGTCACATGAAAAGATGCTGAACATCATTCACTATTAGAGAAATGCAAATCAGAACCACAGTGAGGTGTCACTTTACACCGGTCAGAATGGCCATCTTCAAAAAGTCTACGATTGATAAATGCTGGAGAGGGTGTGGAGAAGAGAGAACGCTTTTGCACTATTGGTGGGAGTGTAAACTGACACAGTCACTATGGATAACAGGATGGTTATCAGGAGGCTCCTTAAAATAATAATATGGATAACAGGAGGTTCCTTAAAAAACTAGGAATAAAACCACCCTATGGCCCAGCAATCCCACTCCTGGGCATATACCCTGAGAAAACCATAATTCAAAAAAACACACATACCCCAATGTTCACTGGAGTACTTTTTACAATCGCTAGGACATGGAAGCAACCTAGATGTCCATCAACAGATGAATGAATAAAGAAGATGTAGTACATATATACAATGGGATATTACTCAGCCGCAAAAAGGAATGAAATTGGGTCATTTGTAGTGATGTGGATGGACCAAGGGTCTGTCATAAAGAAGGAAGTACATCAGAAAGAAAAGAACAAATACTGTATATTAATGCATATGTATGGAATCTAGAAAAATGGTACAGATGAACCTATTTCCAGGGCAGGAATAGAGATGCAGATGTAGAGAACAGACACGTGGAGTCAGGAGGGGAAGGAAAGGGTGAGGTGAATTGGGAGATTAGGATTGACAATACCGCAGTGATAATGGTTTAGTTGTTAAATTGTGTCCAACTCTTAGTGATCCCCATGGACTGCAGATCATCAGTTTCCTCTGTCCATGGAATTCTCCAGGCAGGAATACTGGAGTGGGTAGCCATTTCCTTCTCCGGGGGACCTTCCCAATCCAGGGAAGGGTTCATCTCCTGCACTCCAGGCAGTCTCCTGCATCTCAAGTGATTCTTTACCTCTGAGCCACCAAGGGAAGCCCATACATGTATACATATACACTGCCATGTGTAAAATAGATAGCTGCTGCTGCTGCTAAGTCGCTTCAGTCGTGTCTGACTCTGTGCGACCCCATAGATGGCGGCCACCAGGGTCCCCCGTCCCTGGGATTCTCCAGGCAAGAATACTGGAGTGGGTTGCCATTTCCTTCTCCAATGCATGAAATTGAAAAGTGAAAGTGAAGTTGCTCACTCGTGTCCGACTCCCAGCGACCCCATGGACTGCAGCCTACCAGGTTTCTCCATCCATGGGATTTTCCAGGCAAGAGTACTAGAGCGGGGTGCCACTGCCTTCTCCAAGAGAGCTGATGGGAACCTGCTAAAGCACAGGTACCTCAGCTCAGTGCTCTGCGATGATCTATAGGGGTGGGGTCGGGTGGAGGGAGGTCTAAGAGGGAGGGGATATATGTTATCTGTACAGCTGATTCACTGTGTTGTAGCACAGAAACTAACACAACATTCTATGTTTTTTTTTCCATTTATTTTTATTAGTTGGAGGCTAATTACTTTACATCATTGCAGTGGTTTTTGTCATACATTGAAATGAATTAGCCATGGATTTACATGTATTCCCCGTCCTGGTCCCCCCTCCCACCTCCCTCTCCACCCGATCCCTCTGGGTCTTCCCAGTGCACCAGGCCCTAGCACTTGTCTCATGCACCCAACCTGGGCTGGCGATCTGTTTCACCCTAGATAATATACATGTTTCGATGCTGTTCTCTTGAAACATCCCACCCTCGCCTTCTCCCAGAGTCCACAAGTCTGTTCTATACATCTGAGTCTCTTTTTCTGTTTTGCATATAGGGTTATCGTTACCATCTTTCTAAATTCCATATATATGCATTAGTATACTGTAATGGTCTTTATCTTTCTGGCTTACTTCACTCTGTATAATGGGCTCCAGTTTCATCCATCTCATTAGAACTGATTCAAATGAATTCTTTTTAATGGCTGAGTAATATTCCATGGTGTATATGTACCACAGCTTCCTCATCCATTCGTCTGCTGATGGGCATCTAGGTTTCTTCCATGTCCTGGCTATTATAAACAGTGCTGCGATGAACATTGGGGTGCACGTGTCTCTTTCAGATCTAGTTTCCTCGGTGTGTATGCCCAGAGGTGGGATTGCTGGGTCATATGGCAGTTCTATTTCCAGCTTTTTAAGAAATCTCCACACTGTTTTCCATAGTGGCTGTACTAATTTGCATTCCCACCAACAGTAACACAACATTCTAAAGCAACTATACTCTGATAAAAAATATATATTCTATCTTGTGACCAAATCATGTATCCTGATTTGGGGTTCTGGAAGCATGGCTACTGCTCACATTGCAACAACCGAGCAGTCTGGGTTCTCAGGAAACACAGCTCTCATGACAGACAGGCACTGCCCCAGTGCCACTCAGGGCCTGTGCTGTCACTGTCCTTTCCAACACCAGGGCAGGGGGTGGGCGCTGGCAGACTCCAGCTCTTAGGACCCCAAGTACAGACAGCCCCATGCAGAGGAGGAAAGCATTCTTGGTCCCCTTGGGCCATGATTACCATAGTCTGGCCCTCAGATGATTTATAAAGGCCACACAAATACTTTTTATTCCAGTTATCCTAATTTAAGGACATTTTAGAAAACTGTATAGCTAGAAAGCAATTTCATGGATATGATTGCCTGAGAGGTGGCCAAAATACAAATGCTGCTGCTGCTGCTGCTGCTAAGTCGCTTCAGTCATGTCCAACTCTGTGCAACCCCATAGACACAGCCCACCAGGCTCCCCCACCCCTGGGATTCTCCAGGCAAGAACACTGGAGTGGGTTACCATTGCCTTCTCCAATGCGTGAAAGTGAAAAGTGAAAGTGACGTTGCTCAGTCGTGTCCGACTCTTAGCAACCCCATGGACTGCAGCTTACCAGGCTCCTCCGTCCATGGGATTTTCCAGGCAAGAGTACTGGAGTGGGTTGCCATTTCCTTCTTTGAAAATACAAATGAGTGAAGTTAAAATATAAAATAAATAATAGCTCAGTGATCTACTGTAATGACAAAAATCATAAAGGTGGCAGAAAAGGAAAGACATTTAGCCATCTCTGCCCTTAGTTGTCGCTCTAATGTCTTCAGAGGAGTCTGTTTCTCTGGACCACATTTCTTCAGAGTATTCTGTCTTGTTTTTCTCGCATTCAACCCTCACGCACCTCCCCACAGAGCATAGAAATGTCACATTTGGCTACATAAAAGCAGTTACCAGGCTACTGGGCTTACAGGAATCTCTCTGCTCTGCTGAAAGAACAATGAATTATATGATTAGGTATGCCCCAGTGGTGGTGGTTCTTGCTCAGTTATGTCTGACTCTTTGCGACCCAATGGACTATGGCACACCAGACTTCCTTGTCCTTCACTATTTCCCAGAGTTGGCTCAAACTCATGTCCATCAAGTCAGTGATGCCATCAAACCATCCCATCCTGTTGCCCACTTCTCCTCTTGCCCTCAATCTGTCTCACCATCAGGGTCTTTTCCAATTAGTTGGCTCTTCACATCAGGTGACCAAAGTATTGGAGTTTCAGCTTCAGCAGCAGTCCTTCCAATGAATATTCAGGGCTTATTTCCTTTAGAATTGACTGGTTGATCTCCTTGCAGTCCAAGGGACTCTCAAGAGTCTTCTCCAACACCACAGTTCAAAAGCATCAATTCTTTGGCACTCAGGTATCTTTATGGTCCTACTCTCACATCCATACATGACTACTGGAAAAACCATAGCTTTGACTAGATGGACCTTTGTCAACAAACTAATGTCTCTGCTTTTTAATATGCTGTCTAGATTTATCATAGCTTTTCTTCCAAGGAGCAAGCGTCTTTTAATTTCATGACTGCAGTCACCATCTGCAGTGATTTTGGAGCCCAGGAAAATAAAACCTGCCACTGTTTCCATTTTTTCCCCATCTATTTGCCATGAAGTGATGGAACCAGATGCCATGATTTTAGTTTTTGAATGTTGTTTTAAGCCAGCTTTTTCACTCTCCTCTTTCACCTTCATCAAGAGGTTCTTTAGTTCCTCTCTGCTTTCTGCCATTAGGGTGGCATCATCTGCATATCTGAGGTTATGGATATTTCTCCTGGCAATCTTGATGCCAGCTTGAGCTTCAAACAGCCCGGCATTTCACATGACGTACCCTGCATAGAAATTCAACAAGCAAGGTGACACTATACAGCCTTGATGGACTCCTTTCCCAATTTTGAGCCCTAGTGATTAGGTGATCCTAGTACACACTTCACATGCAGACTTCACACTGGGGCACATAATAAAAGGCTCATCTGCTCACAACTTTATTCTGACTGTGGTTCAACACTTTTTAAACTTGTACTAAATGGAAGAATGGTGCTGAGTGCCGTGGTAGAAAAGGAGGAGTGGGCATTGCGCAGGGGAGACTACACTCTCCATGCTCCATGTTCACAGAAGGAACGATGGCCAAGCCGCACAACCTACTGCATCCACAATTTTCTAGCCTAGTGTGGTCAGCTTCCAGTTGTCCGTTCTATGGACCCTGTACCTGCATCTCTAATCTACACATATTGCTAAGCTAGGCAAAAGAAACTCAGTCCATAGCAATAAATTTTGGGGAAAAAAATAGACTTGGAGTCTTGGAACTAGTTGTTCACCCTGCAGGATGCACAAGAAGTCAAGCCAGGAGCCTGAATTTCAATGTCAGAAAATCTGGAATCAAGTCTTGATCATCTGTCTTATTGGCTGCATAATGTTAGTTGACTCATTTCTTAGGTCGTTAGCCCCAGTTTCCTCATTTTATAAAGGTAGTGGGCTTCCCTTGTGGCTCAGCGGTAAAGAATCCGCCTGCCAATGCAGGAGACACAGGTTCAGTCCCTGGTCCGGGAAGATCCCCTACGCCACGGAGCAACTAAGCTCATGCACCACAACTATTGAGCCTCTGCCCTAGAGTCTGGGAACTGCAACTACTGAGCCCACATGCCATAATTACTGAAGCCCACAGACCCTAAACTTGTGTTCCACAACAAGGGAAGCCACCACAATGAGAAGCCTGTGCACTGCAACTAGAGAGTAGCCCCTACTCGCTACAACTAGAGAAAAGCCAATGCAGCAAGGAAGACCCAGCACAGCCAAAAATAAAGTTTTTTTTTAAAAAACATAGATTACCACCCCAATCTCTCCAAGTCCTTGTGACAGTTCAGATGGATTAATTCACATAGAGCAGTTGGCTCATGGTTGACAAATATGACTGTTCATTCTCTGGTTCCTCACCCTCTTTCCTTCCCATGGAAAGCCCATGGGAGGAAGGAGAGGGGACTGCCAGGAGGCGGCTGGCGGGACACTGAGATGTGGATTTTTGCAGGCAGAAAGCTGCAGCTCTATTCTCTCACCCCTGCCCCTCCAGGCCTAAAGACAGGGCCACTTTGTTGTGTTCTCAGGGAAACCAGCTTCTTTCACACCATCTGGCTTTGGAGGGCAGAACCTAACAGGGGAGACGGGTCAGGCAAGGGCAGAGAATGCTGGGCTAAGACACGCGGCCAAGGCTGTGCTTCCCAGGGGGCTCTGCGCAGAGCCTCTCCTTTGCCAGGGGCTACATTCTGGATTTTCCCTCACGGGGATGCTCTCTCCAACACACCAGCCTGTTTGGCAATCAAAGTCCCAGTGATGGGCTAGACTGTTGGTGGGTCATGCGGCTTGGATGTCATCCCAGACTCTGTGCAGTCTGGATGGATGGTCTGCCACAGCCACGATGTGGAGCATCTGATTCAATTGCAGAGAGGAGACATTTATATGCTTTGTCTCCTTCATTATTATTAAAAAATGAATATAATGTCACTACCAAAGAAAGGAGCAGAAAACTGCAAAGTTTCCCGAGATAACCACTGTAAGTGAATTTTATCTGCAAGCATTTCAATTCTCCCTTGTTAAAAACTAAATTACTGTCACTCTGATTTCTCATAAACCATTTTCTCTCAATATGACAATGCATCTGGCAAGTGGCTGCGATAAGGAACATCCTGAGACAATCCAAGGCTATAGGTTCTGGAGGAACCCCAAGTTCTGGAGGTGAAGGTGGAGCCTCTCGGAAGGGTGGTGCTGGCCACATCCACACATGTCCCAGGTTCAAGTGTGACCTTCAGAGTCCAGTGCTAGTGAGGTGCATCACATGCTGTTAGAAGCCAAACAGCTGCCTCTTTCTTGAACTCAAAAACTTAGTAGAGGGGAGTAGAGATTTCAGGCTGCAGATTTCTGCAATCACAGGATGACAGGCAAAAACAGGTACAGAAAATGGACTTAAAGAAGCATCTCTCTACTGTGTTCCATTAATATACCCTGGGCATTTTTCTCCAATGGCAAGGTTTCTCAACGGGTGTCCATTCTGCACGCCTCTGCATTTTGCAAAGGGGTGGAGCAGGGCTCATAATGACTCCATATTACTATGAATTAAAGTACTATTTAATTAGTACATTGAGCATTTAAACGACTTCTTTATTATGCATAATTGATAAAGTTTGGGGTACACAGCTTTGCTGAGTCACTTTAACAGTTTCAAGGCCTCAGATGACAACTATGCTTTCTCCTGGCACTCGGCGTCCTGCCACATGCTCTTTTGGGGCCTGTTCCACTAAAGAGGGTAGCAGTTCTGGGGGCTCCCAGGTTGGTGACTTTCAAAGCAAAAACAGCTGCCTCGCAGCTGTTGAGAAGCCAGGGCAAGTCCTTGTCTTCCTGCTGCCAACTCAGGAGGGAAAGACAGCAGCAGGTGTGGAAAGCAGGCCTCGTCCTCCAGGAGCCAACAGAGCAGAAAGGAGCGGCTGGCTGAAGTGCACCGCAGCAGAGGTGAGGGGAGGGCTGCTGCCACGGCTGGTGCCTCCAGCCAGAGTCAGGGAGATGTGAGCACCTGGATGGGCTGACTTCCTGTCCGGAAATCTCCTTGGCTGCCTTCACCAGTCACAAGTCTGCAGCCCAGGTAGGCTGAGTAGACAGAAAACCTGGGCCTGGGGCAAGTTCATCTTTGAGGGCTGTGTGAGTTTCCTTGTTGCTGTTCAGTCACTGAATCGTGTCTGACTCTTGGCGACCCCATGGACTGCAGCACGCCAGGCTCCTCTGTTTGGAGTCTGCTCAACTCCCAGAGCTTGCTCAAATTCATGTTTGTTGATTCGGTGATGCCATCCAGCCATTTCATCCTCTGTTGTCCCCTTCTGCTCCTGCCTTCGATCTTTCCCAGCATCAGGGTCTTCTAAAATGAGTCGGGTCTTCGCATCAGGTGGCCAAAGTATTGGAGCTTCAGCTTCAGCAGCAGTGCTTCCAATGAATATTCAGGGCTGATCTCCTTTAGAATTGACTGGTTGGATCTCCTTGCAGTCCAAGGGACTCTCAAGAGTCTTCTCCAACACCACAATTCAAAACCATCAATTCTTTGGCACTCAACTTTCTTTATAGTCCAACTCTCACATCCATACACGACTACTAGAAAAACCATAGCTTTGATTGGACCTTTGTTGGCAAAGCAATGTCTCTGCTTTTTAAGATGCTGTCTAGGTCTGTCATAGCTTTTCTTTCCAGGAGCAAATGTCTTTTAATTTCATGACTGCGGTCACCAACTGCAGTGGTTTGGAGACCAAAACAATAAAGTTTGCCCCTGTTTCCACTTTAGTTTGCTAGGGCTGCTATAAAACTGTACTGCAGGTATGTGGCTTAAATAACAGAAACTTACTTCCTCACAACTCTCCAGGCCAGAGGTCTGAGATCAAGATGCCACCAGGGTCAGTCTCCTCTGAAGCCCCCGACTTTCACTTGTAAGTGACCACCTTCTCCTGTGTCTTCACACGATCTTTGCCCTCAGGTCTGCATCCCAAGCCTTTTATTAGGCCACAAAACATTAGGGCCCAACTCATGACCTCTTTTTATATTAAGTACGTTTCCAAAGATCCTACAAATAAAGTCACATTCAGGAGCCCTGGAGGTTAGGATTTTAATGTCTGGATTTGGAGGGGAACAAAACTCAGCACAGGCTTCCCTTGTGGCTTAGCTGGTAAGGAATCCACCTGCAATGCAAGAGACCTGGGTTTGATCCCTGGGTTGGAAAGATCCCCTGGAGAAGGGAAAGGCTACCTACTCCAGTATTCTTGCCTGGAGAATTCCATGGACTCGACAGTCCATGAGGTCGCAAAGAGTCAGACACGACTAAGCAACTTTCACTTTACTTCAAAACTCAAGACATAACAAAGGCCTCCTCTCCCTAGATTTCCTCTCACTCTGTTGTACAGCTCTCACCTAAGCTTCTTCCTACACTTTGTCTGAATCCAAACACTAACTGCATGCTGTCGGGACTGACCATGAGAGCTGATGGAGAAAAGAGACATTAGCTAGGCCAGTATGATTCCCCTTCTCTCAGCAATATAAACACAAAACCTGGAGAGAGGCTGCCCACTGGTCGTGGAAGGCGAGAGAACATGCATGAATAGGAGTTGGTGAGCCACACAGGCTGAAGATGACTTCTAACCCTGCTGCTGGAGCCCTTTGAGCCACTGGGGACCCAGGAATACCTCCCAGACCCAGTAGCCCAGAACAATACTCACACTGGAGTTTGGGTTCTGAGGTTTCTGAACAATTACACAAGGATC